CTCGGTCGACATCCTCAAGACTGGTTTGACCGCTGAAGGGCGCTGTCGAAGCACGTTGCAACGACGCCTCCAAGGCTGTCGCAAAGACGGACACCGCAGCGCGGTCTTGCTCGTCGCTTTCGTCCAGAAGGCTGACGTGCTGCAGCAGCCGCAGCCAAGAGTACGACCCTGCCGAGTCGCTCGTGAAAGCGTCCAACAGTGCTCGACTACGCAAGATTACGTGGAGGAGCTGTTTAGCCTCGCTCGCGGAGCAAGTGGCCAGCAGGTCGGGAATGAAATGCAGACAGGTGGGGTCGCTTTTTGAATTGCTCAATCCGACGTAGACCGCCATGCGCAGGTCGGTGGTTGTCAGTGTTTCCGCGTTCCTGATGGGCTCTCCGCGGCAAAGCAGGTCGGCCACAGGCACTGCAAGAGTCGAATGAAAGCGAGTCAGCTACGTGCGCAGACGAGGCGCTCCATAAACACACAGCAACGCTCAGCATAAACAGCAATAGGTACGTGTGCTCAACATGCCGGGTCGCGAGACCTTGTATGATAGCAATTGGACATGAAACGTGTATCTCTTCCTTGCGCGCTCGGACCACTTGATCAGGCGTGTACTCACTCGAGAGTATTGCTAGTGTGGCAAGCAGCGTGGAAAAGTAGCATCAATGTCAGCCGTGAGCACGATCAAGATGACAGGACCAGAGCTGCCCGCGCCCGCATCGCTGAACCGTCATACGACAGAAGTAAGATAGAGGTTCTCTTCAAAGGAGTCCGGTCAAGGCCCTAAGCAAGCCATGCATTTTCTGATAGAAATTGAATCATTCGTCGCACCGATGCGGGCGAGGTGCCCACCATGCCGCACAGCTACTCACACTGCGCAAAAGTGAGTTGATCTGCGTTTTGAAGGGGCGTAGAAGCTCGCAGTCAGCTTCTGTATCACGCATTGCGCAGAATGACAAGCTTGAAAGGGCAGCACCATGGGTCATTGGGTCGAAGACATGTGACAAGTTTCGTCTTCCCGGGTGGCATAAACACCTCTGACTCTTCCTATCATTATTCATGGAGATTAATCCTTCCAATGGTGACATGCCGATGCTCTGCGCGCCAACTCACCTGGGCTAGCTTGGACAGATTTCCGTCCTTCCGCTACGACTTCGATTAATTCCAGCGCGTGACCCATCTCGCTGACGACAAAGACATCATGATCTGCTTGCGCAGCAGCATGCAGCTCTCTTGCCCATGCTAGAAGCGGATGAGCAGGCCTACCACTGCTAAGTAGCAGCACAAGCAATCTAGCAGCGTAGCCGACCAAAGCGCGTCTCTGCATTGTGCCACGGGTTCCGCTGGCGACGTCAGCCTCGTCGAGCAAATGCTTGCGGAGACGAATGGAGAGCTGCTCTACGAGCGTGGCCATCAATGGACTCGCAGCCAGTTCCGTGTCTGCAATTCCTCTGGACAGACCATCGGAGACAGTATTCTCTTCTCGGTGCTTGCGACTCATCTCGAGATATCGGTGGTGCGTCTTGCGGCACCTGGAAGCGCAATCTTCCAAGAAAGCGCGAACATGGTCCGCCCGATCTGGCGAGTCCACATTCGGAGCTCCAGAAAATGCGTGAACCCAGACGCTCCATTCGGCGGGATCGTGTTCGAACAGGACGCTCTCGCGCATCACGCTGATGAGCGCCTGAGAGCAAGTAGATCGAATCAGTGCGGAAGCTTTGCCGGACTCTTGCGAGTCGCGCGCCAGCAGCTGGAGAAGCAGCCCAAAGAACGTCTTTGGGGAGGACGCAGAACTTGAGGCGGAAGAAACGGTGGCAAAGACATCCAGCGGCGCGGCTCTCAGCCCAGAGGCCCCTCCGATACAGAGCGACAAGATCCTGAGTGCATGCAGCCGGCATAGCGCCGCCATGGGCATTCCAGCTGATTGTGCCAGAAGCAGCCGAACATAGTCCAGTCGTGCTGCTTCGGGCAAGGCCGATGCTGGACTGACTTGGCAGTAATAGAGTAGCACACGCAGCCTGCCTTCCTCCAAGAGCAGCCTCTGGCCCTGCCTCGTAGCAAGCGAGGTCTGACCGTCCGTCTGACAAGGAGCAGCTGAAGTCTCCTTCCCGAGCGCTTGAGCAGAGAGGCTCGTGATCATACTTGCTACGTCTGGCAATCTTTGTCGCGCTTCCTTTTCCACCGCATCCCATCGCTTCTTCCACTGATCAACCACGTTCGACGGTTGCACAAGGCCGTCCCAGGGATTAGCAGAGGTATCTAGAGAGGTACGAGACTGCTCGACTGCCTTTGCGCTGTCTGGCTGGCCTTGCTGCAGGTCGGAGATGGCGGCATGGCAGGCCTCCTTGAAGCGCACTAGCCGGTCCAAGAGACGTGTGAGCAGGCGCATGGTGATATGTTGAACCAGCCGATCAGGGCTCGCGAGGCCCTTTTGCAACTGCGCACGTGTCAACGGAGAGGGAAGCAAGGCAGCAACAATGTTTTTGAAGGGCGGAGGTGTGGATGGTGTATCCTCTCGCCTCTCCGGCAAAGGCAGGGCAAGCACGCGAGACAGAAAGGACACACTAGACACCCAAGCAGAGCTGTGAGGGCGTGGCTCGAGGGAGGAGGAAGACAAGCCGCTCCCGCTGGGTGAGTCAAAGTATGCGCCGACGAGCTCTGGCGCTGCTCGGAGGATGTCGATGGTCAACTGTTGTTGTGGTAGCGAGCGCGAAGGGGAGAGCGCGCGCGACACACCCAGGAGGATTTTGTTGTAGACGCGCGGAGAGCGCTGCGCACCAAGCTCGCTCTCGTCGTTGTCCCCCGTCGCGCCTAATCGACCAGCAGCTAGCTCGCCATCGGCCATCTCTGAACCCTCGATGCCTTCACGAGCGGCATCCTCCTCATTTGGTTGCTGACTAGCTTTGGCATACCAACCGCGGTCGACGAAGCAGACACCTCTTCCAGGATGCGTGCACAGCGTGGTCAAAAAGTGATGAGCGACGTCGCCAACAGCGAGACGATTGCCTTCGCCATCCACCACATCGGTCTGGTCCTTGCGATCGTAGAGCTTGAGGATCTCCTTGATGCACCACTCGTTGAACAGCGCCACGACTTTGCTCCTAGGCACGCGCAGAGCCGATCGCGCCGCAGCCGGAACATCCTCGACAAGAAGCGAGTCGTGTAGCACTTGAAGCGTGTGCACAACCATCTCTGGCGAGTCGACTGGGAGCCCGCTGACGATGGCGGGTACGTAGGGTCTGCCCAGATCAAGCACCGCGGACGACAGTGCCGGTGAGCCTGCACGCAAGAAGGACAAGAGGAGCAGCGTCCAGAGCGTTCGCACGTCGGGCGAGTCGAAGGTTCCAGGATTAGCAACAGTGGATCCCCGCGAAGTCTTGTGACCGCCTTTGCGCGATCGCATTCGCCTCATGGTCATCAGACGAGGCATAGCGCCGCTGCCGCTCCACGAGACGGCGTCGAATATTCTGCTGGCGTACTTGCTTCCAGCGAAGCAGCTCATGGCGAGCATCAACCTGCTCGTTGCCAGCGTCAGCGTCTCGTTTTTGGCTGCAGCACCGCGTGCAGCGCCGTGGCTCGCACCCTGTCCTTGCCCGGCGACGAGATAAGCCTGCATCCTTCTCCAGTAAGCTCCGATGCTCGAGGACGATGCAGCTGGCGCACGACCGTTGCCGCTCGTTTCCAAGGCCTGAGTTTTGGGTGGCAGTAGTGCCGAGATGACCGCTTCACCCATTTCGTGTGTCGGCTGATGTGCTGATAGCAGCGTCAACATTTGAGCCAAACAGAATAGCGGCAAGGGAATCAGAGTCGGCAAGGATTGCTAAGAGCGAGGCAGGAATGGCGTGAGCTCGTTGATCTCGTCATGGTACCAGCTATGCAGCGCATACAGGCCGCTGTAAGCTCCTTCACTCCTCGCCGCTCGCACACTCACCGCATCAGCCAAATCCCAAGCAGCGAGGAGAGAAGCAAGAGCGCTAGGCAGCTGGTCGTCCTGGCCATGATGCGAGGGCGCAGTGAGAAGCTGCGTGACGAGAGTGATCCTGCCATCCGACGCAGCGATAGGTTCCCTCGCTCCAGCCGAGTCTACCGCACATCTCGTTTCTCTCCTGAGCGTGCTGAGCGCAGATCTCAACGCATCGGCAGAAGTGGTGGAGAGGGCAGCGGCTAGGCTGGATCCGTGCGGCCGCTGCGTTGGACCTGTAGCACTCATGCCTTTGCCTGGCTCATCCTCGCCATCTTCGTCTTGCGTGCCGCGTGTTTGAGAGAGCGCATGCGATGCTGGCGACGCATCGACCTCAACATCTTCACCTCGGCTCTTGCGGCGCTTGATGGGAGCACCAGCTGCAGCTTCAGCTTCAGCTCGATGCTTGCGCTTGGAGGTGCTAGCCTCTGCGTTGCCGATGCTCATGCTGGCCGTGCGATCATGTCATGTTGTCTGAGAGCGTGTTTGTTTCGAAGCCGCTGTGCACGGTCCAGACCATGTGTGAGGAGGGTGATGGAAGGTGTTCCCAGCAAAACCCCTCAAGCAGACGAAGAATCAACGTCACGGACGCACAACTGCCAAGTCTGCTGGAGTGCGGAGCGTGCTGCAGCGGCACTCAGACTCACGACTCGTGACTGATGACTTTTTTTTTTTT